TTTTTTTTTTAATTTGAAGCTGAATGGTGAAGTGTCTGTGACGGTTTTGGACCCTTCTCATATCCTGATCAAACTGGCAAATGATCTAGACTATTGCAGAGTTTTTTGCCATCGTTCCTATCTTGTTTTCAATTGTTTCATGAAACTGACTAAATGGTTGCCTAGTTTGGATATTGGTGTGGAGTCGCCGGTTATCCCGGTCTGGATCTCGTTTCCTCGACTTTGACCGCATTTTTTCTCCCCCAGGATTTTTTCTGGCCTTGGCGGTTTGTTTGGTAAGCCTTTGAAAATCGATGAAGCAACCGCTGTTGGTTCCCGTCCATCTATTGCTCGTATTTTAGTTGATCTCGATATTACTAAAACCTACCCCAAGCAAGTATGGTTAGGTTCTGAATCATTAGGTTACATTCAAGAGGTCATTAGGTTACATTCAAGAGGTCATTAGGTTACATTCAAGAGGTAGTTTTTGATGAATTTCCTCAATTTTGTGCCGGATGTAAGTGTATTGGTCATTCTCTTGGTAACTGCCGTCCTGTTAAGCCTGTTAACGAGACCTCTCTCATTCCCCCTAGCGTTAATTTAGATGCTATCAATACTGAAATTGTTACGTCTCATACGGATTTGGAGTGTGAGAATGCTAATGTTGTGCTTCTCCCTGTGGCTGATTCGGCGGATGTTATCCCTCTTGTTGGGGAGGATCCTATGTCTTTGACGGATATGATTGTCGATGATTGTTGTCCAAAAACGACTGAATTGGTTTCGGCTGGTGTTCCCTTAAATGTTGATCCTACTCCTATTAATGTTGAGCCTGTTTCGGTATCAATTCATGATGCTTTAATTGAGACTATGTCTGGTATGGTGGATGCTAGGGAGGATGTTGGACGGTTGGAACATTGTTGTGTAACAACTGATGTTGTCACGAATGGCTTATCTCCTAATGCTTTACCATTTTTTCCTCCTAGTTTACAGTCTGTAACTTTGCCGGTTAACTCTGCGGAAATCCATGTTGAATGGTCAATCTCCTGTGAATCCTTTGGTGCCTGTTATGGCTGAGGCTGAGACTCATGAATGCATTCCGGTGGTCAATAATTTAATCGATGTTCCTGTTAGTTTGGTTGATATGTGGAATTTGGCCACTAACTTGGGTGATAGTTCTGGTTTGGATATTAGGAATCATATTAATTGGTTGGATAGCTCTTCGGAATGTGACCCTGAATCTGAATTTACAGATGGTGGTCTGGCTTCTCCGGATTTCTGTGGGGGTTCGGACCCTGGTAATGATTTCACTCTTGTTCGCGCTAGACCCACTTTCAATGTTAGCTCTCGGGGTAGATCTCGTGGAAGAGGCCTTAGGAAGGTTATGTATATTTTGATGTATTTCATTTAAAATATATATATTAGATTACTCTAAGGGTGAAAATTTTAATTGGGAATTGAAAAATCGCTAAGATCTGTATGTTAAATTCCTACCTTAGGTTCTAGGATGTTACACAAATGACTCCTAAATTTAGCTTGCTTATAATTAAATTGAGTGTCTCAACAAAACAAATTCAATGAGCCCAAAATAGCTAAGTTCTTATAATATTAAGGTATCAAAATATTGAAAGAAAATTTTATGATAAAGATAATTAATGTGTGCTATCCGAAAAATGATTCATACTTTCTTCATACGTACAAAGCATGCCACACTGAAAAATCAATAAAGTTATATATATAGAGTGTTTCAGTGCGGTTA